CTTGAGCCCAGGAGTTGGAGGTTGCTGTGAGCTGTAATGCCACGGCACTCTGCCCAGGGGGACAGCTTGAGGCTCTGTCTCAAAAAAAAAAAATTATTGGTACTTTATTATGTAAATTTGAGTTTTTATATATCACATTTTCTTAATTTTTTTTACATATTTTAACTGTTATTGAAATATCTGGAAAAAAATTATTTTTCAGAATATTGGGGGTATATATGTTTGGATTTTTGTATAACATACTCTCTTAATTCATGATATAAATTTATACTTAATGTAGTATTACAGTGATGGTATGTCGCACAAATATACTGATAATTTTAATGAGAAGCTTTAGCCTACTATTTTTATCACTTTCTATGCCATTCTGTTTTTTTTTTTTGAGACAGAGTCTCAAGCTGTCACCCTGGGTAGACTGCCATGGTGTGTAGACTGCCATGGCATCACAGCTCACAGCAACCTCCAACTCCTGGGCTTAAGCAATTCTCTTGCAGCAGCCTCCCAAGTAGCTGGGACTATAGGTGCCAGCCACAACATCTGGCTATTTTTTGTTGTTACCGTTGTTGTTGTAATTGTCATTGTTGCTTTAGCTGGCCTGGGCTGGGTTTGAACCTGCCAGCCTTGGTGTATATGCCAGCGCCCTACTTACTGAGCTATAGGTGCTGCCCTATGCCATTATTTTCTTATTTTTTTTCTTAGTTTTGATCTCTCAACTGAATATTCTTGAAGAAAGAAATTTTTCTGCACATGTTGGAAATCATGTTTTCTGAATTTTCTTAAAACAAAATCCTAACTCCTTTTTGTACTTGCAATAAATCACCTTGAAGGGAAATAAAAAGGACTTCCCGTAATTTTATTTCTTAGATTAATATTTTTATATTCTGACCATAAATTAGTCTGGCTTTTAATCATTTTTATTACATTTGAATAAGACATTGGGTAATCTACCTTGCATTTGCTGTTTTTTGGCCTTATGGCTAACATACGTTTTGAATTATTCTGAAGCATTTGGAAAATAATTGTTGAGTCTGAATGTGTTTTGAAGTCCCCCTCTTATGTGAAAAACCTAAGATTGAGGCTTACCCTTCCGTTTTGCTGAAAACCCTAGCAGTACTGCAGTAGTCCACTAATTCTCATTTGTGGAAATAGCAGAATTTCAAATGTTAGTATTTATTATTATGTCATATACTAAACATAGTGAATCTGTCATTAAGAAAGATGATAGGAGGTGGTGCTTATGGTTTGAAAGGGTAGGGCACCGGCCCCATATGCCAGAGGTGGTGGGTTCAAACCCTGCCCTGGCCAAAAAAACAAACAAACAAAAAGAAATAATAAGACCTTTAAGAAAAAAAAGAAAGATGATAGGCCAGGTGCTGTGGCTGATGTCTGTAAACCTAGCACTGGGGAGAAGGTGCTTTAAGGAGGGGGATAATTTGAAACCAGGAGTTTGAGACCAGCCTGAGTAACAGCAAACTCCTTTCTCTAGGAAAAATGTTTAGAAAATAAAATATAAAAGAAAGGAAAGAGCATGAATTAAAAATCAGAACCACAACCAAAGAGGGTAAAAAAAGAAAATAAAGATGTATGAAAATATCTGCAAAACATACGATAGAGAGGGATAATAGCCATATTACATATAAAAAGTTCATACAGGCTCGGCACCTGTGGCTCAAGCGGCTAAGGCGCCAGCCACATACACCTAAGGTGGCGGGTTCGAATCCCCAGCCCGGGCCCGCCAAACAACAATGATGGC